AAGTCGGCACGCCGATTCGCGTCGTCGGGAACGACAACGCGGAAAAGGTGCAGATTCTTCCTGGAATCTTGGCCAAACTCGACCGCGCCGCACCGCAGTACGGCCTTACCGGGTACAACGACTTCAACACGTTCTACTACGCCGCCGCGAGCAGCACGAGCGGTGGGTCGAGTGGGTCCCCCGTGCTGAATGCACAGGGCATGGCCATCGCCCTCAACGCAGGCGGCGCGACCAATGCCGCGTCGTCGTACTACCTCCCGTTGGACCGCGTCACGCGCGCTCTCAAGTTGTTGCAACAGGGCGAGGTCGTGACCCGAGGCACGTGGCAAACCATATTTCGCCACGTCCCGTTCGACGAAGCCAGGCAGTTGGGCTTGTCATCGACCACTGAAGCATCCATACGACGCCAGAGCGGTTCCGTATTGGGCGTGTTAGTGGTGGACCAAGTGCTGCCGGAAGGCCCCGCCGACGGCATCTTGGACGTCGGAGATATCCTTCTCAAAATCAATGGCCAGTATTGTACGACGTTTTTAGCGTTGGAGTCGATCCTTGACGACTCGATCGGACAGTCCCTCTTGGTGACATTTCAACGAGGAGGTGCCAGGCCAGTGGATGGTCATGTGACTGTGCAGGTATGCCTTGTGTTGCGACAAGTGGAGCCCCTCGATCGATTTGTATCGGGTCAGGAATGCTCCATGCGACCACCTTGTGTGCGCTTGAAACGTAATGCCAATCGAAGCGCTTCCTTTGGTCGCGAGCGTCGATGTGTGGACTGTACCAGTGTCGCGCCTTGCCACAACCAACGACATGATGGCTAACGCAGTGGTAGGATCTACATGCGATCTCACCGAGCCGCTTTCTCGAAGTCGGCCATTGCGTGATCCACGAGTTATCATACCAACAAGCCCGCAACATGGCGCTGCCTGTTGGCGGCGTCTACGTGGCCGCACCAGGACACATGCTGTTCAAGGCGGACATTTTTGAATCGTGCTTGATTGTGTCCCTGGACGACATTGTCACGCCGACGTTGGACGCGTTCGTCGCGATTTTGCAACAGTTGCCCGACGGCTCCCGCGTCAGCTTGCAGTACTTTTACAGCGCCAGCCGCCACCAGACCGAGACCGCCGTCGTCACGATCGATCGGCACTGGGGGCCGATGCAAATGTACTCACGATCGGACCAAGACGGCCTGTGGCATCCGACGGTCCTTCCGTGCGTCCCGTCAAAGCCGTGCGACGTACGCAAGGAATCGGCCGGTGCGTCCGATCCGCCCATGGCGTCGTCTGCCGACCCGAAGGACGACGTTGTGGACGCATCCGTTGTCGCAACGTCGACCGGCACCTCGGCACCTCGTACAAACGACTCGAATGGTGCTGCCTCCACATACGCGCCTCCCGGCGCTGCCTCGACCACTCGTTTGCAAGTAGAAAACGCCGTCACGGCCACTCACTTGGCGTCGCTCGTTTTTGTTCGATTCGACACGCACTTGACGATCGACGGCATGTCGACTTCGTGCTACGATGGCGTCGGGTACGTCGTGAATGCCTCGTTGGGCATTGTACTTGTGGACAAGTTCACTGTCCCTGTCTCGCTGGGCGACGTGACCGTCACGATAGCCGGGTCGTTGCAAGTCCCCGCGGCGATTCGATATGTCGACCCCATCTATAACGCCACAATTGTCCAGTACAACCCGGATCTCGTCACGCCCGGCCTGGTTTCGAGCATGCACATCGCCCACACAACGGCGCCCCCGGACTGCCTTCGGGTCGGCGCGTCGCTGTCGTTCACCGGGCTCTCGCGAAATTGGACGGTTGTCACGGCCACGACGGTCGTCAGCAAAGTCGAGCGCCTCCCCGTCGTCGATTTCCGCGTCCCACGATTTAAGGGCAGCAGTTGCCAAGTCGAATTGATGTCGCTGGACCAGCAAATTGCCGCCGCACGCGGTGGCGTGTTCACCGACCCGAACGACCCCACCGCTGTCGTCGCGCTGTACTTAGCATTCGAAGACGAAGAAACCACCGACGGCCGCATCCAAGCGTTTGCGTTTGGGGTGCCAGTATTCTGGATATATGATCTCGTCAACTTGTGCCAGCAACGCGACGTGCGCCTGCCGTCAACGGTGTCGTGGCTGCCGGTGGATTTTGGAACGCTCGGCTTGGCCGACGCCCGCGCCGGTTTCCACTTGGCACCCGACATGCTCTCGGCGCTCGAACAATGCACAGACGACACACGGCAAGTCCTGACCGTTCAAAAGTGCATGACTGGTAGCCAGGCAAGTCGCCAACTCCGCAGCGGCGACTTTGTCTTGGCCATCGACGGGCTAGTCGTCGCCAAGTCGTCCGACGTTGTTCGATCTTGTCGTGGCAAATCCAGTGTGGCCGTGACGGTGTGGCGGGACCGGAAGGCGGTGGTCGTCCCTGTTGACATGTGCGAGTTGAGCACGCGAGGGACGGATCGTGTGGTTCTCTGGAGCGGTCTCATGCTCCATGCACCCCACGTGGCCGTCATGCAGCGAGGTTTGGACGGCCGTGAGACGAGCGGCGTGTACGTGTCGTATCGGTACCGCGGCAGTCCGGCAGACAAAGCCGGCATGCTGCAGTCGCAGTTCATCGTGCAAGTGAACGACGTGGCAACCCCAACGCTCGACACGTTCTTAACCATCGTGACCACGCTGGCACATGACGAGTTTGTGCGGCTCCGCCTGGTCGACTTGAACGCGCGGGAAACCATGATCACTATCCAACCAGACAATCATTACTGGCCCACGACCGACCTGTCTTACGATGGCAACAAGTGGAGCGTCACCACGGCCTCCAGGTCGACTGGAGTAGAGCAGAGTTGTTAGGGCTATGACAGTGTACCCAACCTGGTGTGCATCGTTGGGCTTGACCAGTGGCACAACCAACCTACTTCGTTCCTCATTCGAACGGTGGAGCATGTTTAACAATCTGGAAGCACGAAATGATCCTCCACCACTGTTGTTGTTGCCATCTAATGGACCCGTAGCTAGGTTCAGTGGGGGGTAGCAATGCAGCGCTTGGAGCGACTTCTTGGTGGCCGCAGCCACGAGAGTCCTGTTCTTCGTTCTGTGTTGTCCGATGAGGGAGTCGTTGGCGGAACGACTAGGTCGCTATGACAAGGCGGTTTCAACCGAGGCCAATCATGAACCCTCGTAACTGCTACGTGCGATGCCCGAGTCGGGATGCGGTGACCACCTTCGCGAGCAGCTCATGCCTCCATCTAGTCAGGCCACCCTTGCGCTGTTGCAGCACTTAGTCAGCACGAACCGCGGTACCAGCATGTCCAACCCCGCCACGAAACCGGCCAGTCCTCGCGGCAAACGTCTTCTGCAAGATCAGCTCAACCAGGTTCGTCGATCGTGTTCGCCGAGTACACCTCTCCACTTGTCAACGCGTGGCCACGCCGTCGACATCACACTAACGAGGGAGGTCACTGACCGTGCCGTAGATCGGTCACGATCCTCCCCAAAGATTTGCACCATCGTTCACGCAATCGTCATCGCGGAGCCACACAGCTTCGCCCCCGCAACCCCCGCCTTCCTCGTCCATGTTGACCCCCCTCACTCCGTCAACCCCCCGAGCCACATCGCCACATACAACTTATGAACGAGAGCGCAAAGAGTCGCTGTTCAAGATGCAAATCCGCCAAGTCGACGGCAACGAAGCGGTCGCGCTCGTCACGCCTAGGTCGATAGTTACCCACTTGCCGGTAGTGGTGTCCATGATATCGGCAAAGCCGCCACGTACGTCGTATCGAACGTTGATGACCGAGGTGGGGGCGGTCAACAAGGAAGCCCAGGCTCGGATTTGTGCCCAAGAGGCCAACCAGACACAACAAATTGCACAGGTAAGGGATCGCCCTCCTGCCTTCCCCCGATGTAGGCATGCTCTTTCATGGTCAATGACGTCAAACTGTATGCATTGAATCCGTGGCGACGAGTGGTCGTGTCCGCAAGTTGAACTGTGTCCGGCTAGGATGTGCTGTGTCGGTCGCTGGCGCAAATGAAGAGCCAGCAGCGAGTGGCAGGCCATCAAACTCTGGAACAGTCCGATCGGTCCCGACGACAAACGGATCTACAGATGCAGTTGCAACAGACTCACGAAATGGCCCTACAGCGTGCACGCAACACCGGAAATGGCAAAGGCCACCACCCGCGGGGATGGTCGGTGATCGACGCGCCACCTCTCCGCCCCCCAGGGCATTCTGCCCTGGACGACGCAGATTTTTTTCACGTGGCGCATTACTCTGCAGCACACGACCACAATAGTCGCCAGTGCGTTCCCACAGGTTTTGCGTGGCGTGACCGATGCCATTCGCATGGATATCAAGCCCGACATTGTCTTTCTTGACAACTCATCGAGTGATCTTGGTACCAATAGGTTGTCCCTCGCTGCCCAACGGCAAGAGGTTGGCCCGGGCGGGACATCGCTGGCTGAGATTGACGCCGCGCTCCCCCATCACACACCTCAACCGTTGTCGTCGCCTGGAGGGTGTGGCGCCGCTGCCTTCCCTCAACGCCACCGCGGCGTCCTCACGCTCGACCTGCAACGGCTGTACTTTCAAGTCATGGCCGCGCTACATCCCGACCGAAAACTGCCAGCCAACAACCATGCCGACCACGTTGTCGTCACAGGCCACGAATGGCTCTCCCTGGACGAATTCGTCCCGTTGTTTTGCCTTTCGTTTGGGTTTTCCAACAAAGAGTGGGCGGCCAAGTGCTTCCCGGCCTTCTTTCCGTCCAAGCAGCACATGGACAGATCCCCTCGGCTGACGCTCCTCGAGTACGCAACCAAGTGTCACATGCTCTCGGTCGGCGCCGACATTGACAAAACCCGATTTGTGTTTTCAATCTACGACCACGACCGCAGCGGTGAGTGGCATTATTCCTTTTCAACATGACGCGACGGCGTGTGCGCATCACGTCTGCGCGATGGGGCCGTCGCCGCACTGCTCTCGTCCACGTCAGGGACAAAGGACGACCGGCCCCCCACGCCTGGCTGACGCGGGACGACCCCGGCAAACCGGGTTCGCATGGATCGACGCGCTGACGTGTGTGTGTGTAGGAACTGTGGAAGTCGACGAAGTGTTCGAGACGTTGCAATCGGACAAGGAGGATTTGTGGGACCAAGTCATCTTTTCCCAGCAACTCATGGGCCTCGTCAACCCAAACCACGACGGAACGATGGGGTTCGAGGTTGTGCACGTCGTGCCAAACGACGTCGGCGTGACCTTTTTCGCAGGACTTTTGTACGGCGTGCCAGAAAATCCCCATGTTCTTTACATGTTTTACGGGCCCGCTCCATCTTCGCCTGTCGATGCATCCAGAAAACGTCAAGTACCGCCTTGGGTACGTACCCTGCACGCTTGGCTCGAGTTGCGCGATGACGTCGGAAACACGCGCCCGTGTGGACTCTGTGCACGGGGGTGGCCCACGTCATGTGGGGTGACTGGCCTCGTCTATGCGGCCTCAACATAACGCCCGCTCTTCCCATGCAGGCTGAATGCGATTCGAAAAATGTGGAGCTGCGGTGTCAAAGAAAGTTGTGCGTGTCCCGATGTCGAGCTAGCCAACGCCACAAACGTCACCATCTCATCCTGGACGACGACTTTGTAGCTGCCAGCGACAACCACGACACGATCGACTCGAGTGGATTCAAGACGGTCATCTCGTACTTTTTCCGGTTTGCCCGGTCCAGCGCAATCGACCAGGCGCTCGCGACGCGACTGTTTCAATCGTTTGCGTCGCGGGGCGACGTGTTGCACTTTGGCGAGTTCATCGCGTGCGTCGGCATCGCGAACGGCTGCGTCATCTGACGGATCTGTTGAATCCCCATAGCGGCATGTCCACACTGATTCAAGGTACGATCGACGAGCGCGGGCGCATGATGCATGCGGTAGGAACGACTGTGAGCTCTGCAAGGAGCGTACGAGAGACATCGAACGCCGTGTAGGTGCTCGACTTGGACCACGGCGGCACCGTGACCAAGCACGAGATCGAAATGATCTTGCGGTCGCGAGCCAACGTGCTGCAGCACCAAGGTTCGAATGTCGCGACGGGCCATGCCACCTCTCCCGATGCATACGACGTCTCCATCGATGGGATTGTGTTTTAGCCTGGACAAGTCGAACCGCCACGACTACTGTTGTTTGTGGCTTCCGCTGTGCTCGTGATGCTCATGCTGATGGAGTGGTGGCTGTGTGGTCTTATGTTGGTGTGGGCTGGTGATCGGTTGGCGTGCGCTTTCTGACCGCTCTCGTTGGCAGAAATCAAGGACTTGAACTTGGAACGCAATGCCAACGAGATCATGGCCGCCCTGGATGAAAATGGCGATGGCGACATCTCGGTCGACGGTATGAGGGCCGTTGCCATTGGTTTCTCATGGTTGCGATGGGTGCAGAGTTCATGACGGCAGTGCGACGAACGCCGCATGTGCTGGAAGCGCTGCAAGACATTCTGTTCAGTGGATGCCGTCTCGAGTCGGACTTCGACACGGACGCATGGAAGACGTGAGCGATGTAGTGATGGGGGGTTTCTGACTGCCGACGCTGTAGGCACACACACAAGGGCCTGGACCGTGCCACGTCGTGGCATCGCAACCTCGATGAGCCCATCGAACACCCAGATAATCTCATGCGCGATTTCAAGAAGATCTTCGTGTCGGCCGTCAAAAAAGTATCGGCAGCCACGACGGTATGACAAGACTTCCAGCGTATGCCCACCTCTGCTCATTCATGTCGTTGGCATCCCAGATTCGCAGGCAGAATCTAAACCAGAAGCGGCACCCTCGGAAACCTAACGTTCCATCTCACGTCCCTTCGGCCCTGCAATCCATTGCGTCGACCGGAATCCGCTCGCCGTCGTCGCCGTTGTCGCCGTTGTGAATTGTCCAATTTAACGAACCACATGGTATAACGTGTTTAACCTCCACTTGAATTAAATAGTGTGAAGAATCATGCTTCAGTAAATACTACTAGTACGGAGTACGACAAACCAAGTTATTGTTAACGTGATACGTACTTCGAAGTATTTTTGTTGTAAGGCAGATAAGTTGCGATCACACTATTTAGTAGTTTTACCTTGCACGTGCGATCGCGTTATAGTAAAACGATGCGCGATACAACACCGACGGAGCACTTGAGACACACCTCTACCTTCGCGAACCTCGCCATCTCTCCACGCAGCATGCTGCCGTCGCATGGACATACCGCCCAGACACATCGAT